ACACTGATTGCATTTGTTAGGTAAAGTCCCTCTTATAATTGTGTCCTGCCTCCAAGAGATGTGTCATACATTGTGACCGCCTCCCACCTTCCCTTTCTCCACTTCCCCTTTCCCCACTCCCCACCATGTACTAGGTCATCGATTGTCCTCCTATCAGAATTGAGTACATTGGATTCTTGCTTCTCCATTTTTGTGACGCTTTATTAAGAAGAATGTATTCCACCTCCATCCAGGTTAATAGAAAAGATGTAAAGTCTCCACCTTTTTTAAGTGACTGAATAGTATTCCATGGTGTACATATACCACAGCTTGTTAATCTATTCCTGGATTGGTGGGCATTTAGGCTGTTTCACAGTCTGGCAATTGTTAATTGAGCTGCGATAAATAGTCTAGTGCAAAAGTCTTTACGATAAAATGATTTTTTTTTCTTCTGGGTAGATGCCCAGTAATGGGATTGCAGGATCAAAAGAGAGGTGTAATTTGAGTTCTTTGAGGATTCCCCATACTTCCTTCCAAAAAGGTTGTATTAGTTTGCAGTCCCACCAGCAGTGTGAAAGTATTCCCTTCTCTCCACATCCATGCCAGCATTTGCAGCTTTGAGATTTTGTGATGTGGGCCATTCTCACTGGGGTGGTTACATGATATCTTAGGGTGGTTTTGATTTGCATTTCTCTGATTATTAGGGATGATGAGCAATTTTTCATGTTAGCCATTGATCTATCTTCTTTAGAGAAGGTTCTATTCATCTTTCTTGCCCATTGATATAAGGGATTGTTGGCTTTTTTTATGTTGATTAATTTGAGTTCTTTGTAAATTCTAGTTATGAAGCTTTTGTCTGATTCATAATATGCAAATATCTTTTCCCATTCTGATGGTTGTCTATTTGCTTTGGTTGTTGTCTCCTTAGCTGTACAGAAACTATTCAATTTAATTAAGTCCCATTTGTTTATGTTTGTTGTTGTTGCAGTTGCCTCTGAAGTCTTCTTCTTAAAGTCTTTCCCTAGGCTGATACCTTCAAGTGTTTTCCCTGCAGTTTCTTCGAAGATTTTTGTTGTTTTGTGCCTTAGATTTAGATCTTTTAACCACCTTGAATCAATTTTAGTGAGTGGAGAAAGTTGCGGATCCAGCTTCAGTCTTTTACATGTGGTATCCAGTTCACAGGAGGAAATTTTGATGAAGGTGGGTTCAGGGAGGGACTCTACTTGCCCTGTGAAATTTAATTTGAGGACAGAGGGAGAGACTGCTTAAGAAATTAAACTTACTTTGCTATTCTAAAAATCAATCCTTTTGATAAAGGAAAAACTTTAGGGCTAGGCATTAC